AACAAAAGAAAAAAATAATCTTGTAGTACCAGTATATACTTCCATTATCCTACGAATTAAATCTGAGCCATACTACTGCACATATTTCTGTAACAATTGGTTATAGGTCCTTTTAAGTAATTGCAGTCTATACTGCTACCTTTTCTTGATTATGCTGCCTTGTTTTTTTCCTCTGAATTCTTTTTTTTTTTTTTTGGTTGTTATTTCAATACTTTCTGACCACAACGTGGCTCTTATCTCAATCTGATAATTTTTAGTCACATATTAGGAATAGATAGGATCTATTTCTATTTACAGGACTTGTAGTATCTAGGAACAAATGAGTATTAATTGGCCTCAGACACATGTAAACTCGAAATAGGTATCTAATATGATAAAAGCATGGATCTGGAGCAGCATTTCCATTAAACCCTTTTGCCTGGAGACATCTAAGCTAATAGCTAGACCGAGTAACATGATTGCCAAGATGTGAGGGCTGGACGAAATTCTTTCTGGTACTGTTAGTCCACTGGTACTGTTAGTCCACTAGGAAAATATAATGCCAGAAACAGGTACGTAGCAAATAAAAAACAGATTAGGGAGAACGTAGGCCTCCTCAGGAAGCTCTCGGGTGAACTAGCTACACAGGATTTGGAGAAGGCTGAGGTTCTGAATGACTTCTTTGCCTTGGTCTTCTCTAGCAAAGGCTCTGACCGCACCACCCAAGTCTTGGAAGGCAGATGCAGGGACACTGAGAATGAAGACCTTGGGCTCACTGTAGGAGAGGAATTGGAGTTGGTTTTTTAAGATCTCATGAAATCGCTGAACTTCCCCCAGCCTACTGCTGAATTAAAATCTGAACGTGCACAAGTCCATGAGTCCTGATGAAATCCATCTGCGGGTCCTGAAGGAGCTGGCAAATGAAGTTGCTAAGCCGCTGGCCATCATATTTGAAAAATCATGGCAGTCAGGTGAAGTTCCTGATGACTGGAAAAAGGGAAATATAACCCCCATTTTCAAGAAGGGGAAAATGGATGACCCGGGAATTACAGACCAGTCAGTCTCACCTCTGTGCCTGGCAAAATCTTGGAGCAGATTCTCCTGGAAGGCATGCTAAGGCACATGAAAAACAACAAGGTGCTTGGTGACAGCCAGCATGGCTTCACTAAGGGGAAATCCTGCCTGACCAATTTGGTGGCCTTCTATGATGGGGCTACAGAACTGATGGACAGGGGTAGAGCAGCTGATGTCATCTACCTGGATTTGTGTAAAGCATTAGACACTGTCCCATATGACATCCTTGTCTCTAAATTGGAGAGACATCAATGTGATGAATGGACCACTTGGTGGGTAAAGAACTGGCTGGATGGGCAGACACAAAGAGTTGTGGTCAATGGCTCAATGTCTGGCTGGAGACCCATAACGAGTGGTGTCCCTCAGGGATCAGTGTTGGGACCGGTCTTGTTTAACATCTTCATCACTGACATGGAGAGTGGGATTGAGTGTGCCCTCAGAAAGTTTGCCAATGACACCAAGCTGTGTGGTTCGGTTGATACGCTGGAGGGAAGGAATGTCATCCAGAGGGACCTTGACACGCTTGTGAGGTGGGCTGATGACAAACTCATGAAGTTTAACTATGTCAAGTGCAAGGTCCTACACGTGGGTCGGAGCAATCCCAGGCACAGCTGCAGGTTGGGCAGAGAAGAGATTCAGAGCAGCTCTGCAGAGAAGGACTTGGGGGTGCTGGTCGATGAGAAAATGAACATGAGCCAGCAGTGTGCGCTTGCAGCCCAGAAAGGCAACCTTATCCTGGGCTGCATCAAAGGGAGCATGACCAGGAGGTTGAAGGAGGTGATCCTTCCTCAGTATTCTGCTCTCGTGAGACCTCACTTGGGGTATTGTGTACAGTTCTGGTGTCTTCAACATTAGAAGGACATGGATCTGTTGGAACAAGTCCAGAGGAGGACCACGAGAATGATCAGGGGACTGGAGCACCTCCCATATGAAGACAGGCTGAGAAAGTTGGGACTGTTCAGCCTGGAGAAGAGAAGGCTGCGTGGAGACCTCATAGCAGCCTTCCAGTATCTGAAGGGGGCATATAGGGATGCTGGGGATGGGCTCTTCATTAGGGACTGTAGTGATAGGACAAGGGGTAATGGGTTAAAACTTAAACAGGGAAAGTTTAGATTGGATGTAAGGAGGAAATTCTTTCCTGTGAGGCTGGTGAGGCACTGGAATAGGTTGCCCAAGGAGGTTGTGAATGCTCCATCCCTGGCAGCGTTCAAGGCCATGTTGGACAAGGCCTTGAGTAATATGGTTTAGAGTGAGGTGTCTCTGCCCATGGCAGGGGGGTTGGAACTTGATGATCTTAAGGTCCTTTCCAGCCCTAACCATTCTATGATTCTATGATTCTGTGATTCTATAGTTTGTATCTCTGGATAGGTCTTTACAGTGGAAGAGCTGGGAGAGCTTTTTTCATCCCCACTGATTTTGTGAAGATGTCTCAAATTCCAATGTTTGTGAATGAGTTTGCAGAAAAATGGATAAAATCAAACAATACAAAAGTGATATTCACAGTGTTACAAAGTCACTGGAACAGGAAGCTGTTGAAGTATGTACTATAGTAATAAAACAGCAGTGGTGTAACAACTAAATCATACTCGACTCTAGAATATCCGATCTGTCATTCATATAGTCGTAAACTATACAGGAAAGGAAGATGTTCTTTCAGTCTAATTTTAATTATACAAATGGCACAAGCTAGATGAAACAGTGTTATAATTGTCAAGTAAAATGCATTCAGAGAAACATCTATCCTTCTATGTAAGCAGTCATGATTTCTAAATTAGACATTACCCAAAGGACAGATTTCTTACATATTAGCTCTGATTATTAGCAATTAATGTTTCTGCTGCGCTTGTTTAATTTAATTTTTTTCCCATTGTTTCTACTACAATTTGACTGCCTCATTTCTTCACTCTGCATTCCACTTTCAGTATTAATATTTAGAGAACAATATATATCATCTGCTTTTAGTAAGAATATGACTGTGTGAAAACACTGGCAGTCTTCAGGATGGGGTGAGTTGGGGGAGAGCAGGGAGAGTTTGTTTTCTTTATAGTGACAAGTAAACTCTGAAAGCATGACATACAGGTTTCTTGTGTATCCTTGCTATACCATGCTTCCAGGATAGATCTCAATTTTTTGAAATATTCTTTATTTTATGAATAGCTCTTTTTGGTTAGATACTGGCCCAAGATCAGGGGACATACAAAAACAAGTTCATCTACAGTATTGACTAGGTTTATTCTCAGCAAAGAATTTGGAGTCATTATTTTCTCTGTTTCTTCCCCTTTCCCAGTGAGGCAATAATTTATCATTGATCCTACTCCAATGCCAACAAATGTGGAATGAAGCCAGAGCAGAGCTTAATTCTTCTTGTCCATGATTTTTTCAGTATGAAAGAATACAGGATGTTAAGTAGACACTGATGTTCTGTATATCATATTTAAAACTTGTGTCATAAGTAGCCCTGTATGTATAGCACAGAAGTTCAGTTGATTGTTTTGAAGTGTGTAAATATTTTCTGAAGAAATATCAAAAGTCTTGTCTGTCTCCTACAGTCTTTAAAAACATGCACAAGAGTTTTAATGCATCCAGTTTTTGTCCATTTGTGTTCCCACTCTGGGGTTGTGAAATTAATTTTTACCCTTTCTTCAAAAGTTTTTAAATATATTATTTTAATTAAGTTATTTTTCATAGCTAAAGATGCCAGGTGACTTTAAGGAATAAAACAAGTAGATACATAAAGCCACCACTGTTTGCGTTTGCCGGGAAACTGAAAGTAGACTTCACACCTTCTGAGTAGATACTGAAAATAGGTACTCTTAGAAGATAATCAGATTATTCGTTGACCTTGCAACTATCATTCATTATAATAAGAATGAACTGGCTATTTTGCTGGCTATAGAATAGTTTTCAGGAAATGCTTTTCTGCAACATAAATTTGGACTGGGGCAAATTTTAACCCTCTCATACCTAGATACAGAAGCAGTAATATCTAAAAATGGATACTTAAAATATTTCATGTACTGAATTGCAAGATTATGACTGTTTCCTTTTTTCTTCTTTATGGTTGAAAATGCTCTCAGTTAGAGATAAAGTTAAGGTAAGAGAAAAGCATAGAAGACAACCAATTCCTCAGGAATAATTCAAACCAAATAAATTGGAGTTATGTTGCCCTTATAAGTTTGTACAAATTATGTGGAATTGGTGAAATGATAGATCTCAATTTACTTTTTAAATTAAATGTATCATGGAAACCTATTCCAACTTTGTATCTCCTACTGCTTCTCAAACCCAAGCTGGTAGAGGTTGTTTCAAGTGGGGAATCCAAAAATCATAATTTGCTTTGAAAGGAAATATCTTGAAAATAAGTCATTATTTCAGGCTAAACCCTGACCTAGATAGGAACTATAGGAGCTTGTTTAAATTTGCTGAACTAAATATTTGGAACATCAGTTTATCTTTTCTTATTTTAACTCTAGGAATGATACCACAACTGATTATATAACCAGAATAAAAGATTTTTAGGAGCAACCACTGTGTGGCAGATTTCAGCTCTCCTTTTAACTAAAAAAGATTTTAATTTTTTATTTTATTTTTTTTAGTCAGTACTTGAGTATTATAGTACTTTTTGAGTTCATTCCAGGTATCAAAGTGTCCTTTGTTATTTACTAAAATTCATAAATAGAGGGAAACTGTGAGAGATGTTATGTAATGTTAACATTTTACATTGAGCTGTTTTTAAATCAGTCTAAGATGGAATATATGATCAAAATGTAAAAATAATTAAAGGAGAACATGATCTATCGCCTTGATCTACTGTAAGATTTCTGACATAGTTACTCTATTTATTTTATCAAAATATTTGAATATCATGGCTTTAGTGATTTTACTTTAATTTAACTTTGTTTTGTTTTTGCTGTTTTGTTTTGGTTTTGTCTTTGTTTTTTGATCAGTTTGATATGAAGACATACAGTCCAGAAGAGGGAAGTAGTGGAAGACTATCACAAGTGTGAGCAATTTCAACCTGGTAAGTTTCTTTTTTTTTCACTGGAGCCATTTTTGCCATCAGTAGCCTCATTTATGTTTGTAGTAATATCTCAGCTGCTGCTGGGTTTTTTTTAATTCTTGATATGATATTTCTAAATTAAATGTTACAAACTTTGCCTTCTGTGTTGACAAACATGAATGCTCAATGCTCAAAGACTCATGATGTCTTTGAAATGCAGTTTTGGATCCAGGTATTTTCAGTTCTCAGCCCTTACGCCTAGCACAGAAAATTATTTTCTAATCCTCTATGTATGTACACAATATGCCCAAACTTTACTCACTCTTGTCAGGGCTAGATTTTGCAGTGTCAGAAATCTTGTGAGCTGAAGGGTCTGATTTTAAAATGCTATTTTCTGCTTTATTCTGATTTTTTTATTAATGTAGACAAACACACTTGTGAGCTTTTTACATTCTAGAGATTGAAATTTATTTTTAGAATAACTACTTATTCCAGCCTTATTCTGAGAAATATTTGCTTTGTGTTGAGTGTCCTTTTAGAAAAGCACAATCTGTGATTATTTTTACTTCCTAGAAAAAAGTCAGTCCAGTATTAGCAAAGCTATCTCTTCTGGGAGGAAATGTAGGTAGAAGAATTTAGTGACAACAGTGTAATCCCCCAGGGCAGTGGAACTAGCCCTGCTATTGTTTATGCACTGGCTTATCAGTGACACACACAACATTTGTATAATAAAGTGCTGAGAAGTGGTAAGATGGTTTCAGAAATTAAAAAAAAAAAAACCAACACAACAAAATTAATCCAATGAGCTGCTGCACTTAATGGAGTGATATGTTCAGATTTATAACCTGAAAATAGTCGTTTAAAAAATGGTATCACAGACCTGGCACAGGATAAGGCTTTGTGTCCTAAGAATTGATGTATAAATATATCAAATACTTCAGCAAAGAAATATCTAATAAGGAGTTGTAGTCTTCTCTCAAGACAGATCTTATCTGATCTCCACTTTCATATGTATGTGTAATTATGCATGACTTATGTATCTCTATGTATATAGCTTCTGTTGGTTATAGGATGATCTATATCCTTCACTTAAATGAAACACAATAGTTTTCTGAGTTTGACTGTTCTATCAGTCCTGACAGTTCACTATTGCACTGACTTTAAAAATACATTGGATAGTTATGAAAAAGTGAGGAAACCACCCCTCAAAAAATGAAGTTCACTGTCTGTCTTGTGATCACTGGTAGGTGATAGAGGTATCAAAAATGTTAACAGACAAACACAAGGGGTGTGGTTTTATGTCTCAGGAAGTATATTTCTTTCGTATGATATCAACTTAGTTGATCTCTCCTAGCTGAATGGCAAGTCCATTAATACTGTAAGACCTCACCTGACTCAAACCTACTTCCTTTCCCTATAAACCCAGTCACTGTTACTTTTATTTCTGAAGCACCATGAACCTTTTCTAGCTTGGTCCCCAGAATCATTCTTGCACTATGCACAGCATTTACAATTTGAATTCTTACAATTTTGTGACGAAAGTGCTACTTCTGGTAATTAGCAGTTATTCAGTTTTTACACATAGAAGGGGGTATCTGGTATAGGCTCCTGCAAAAGCTATTTTTTTACTTGCTTGTATTTGAAATTTCTGCAGGTTTGGAAGTGCATTTAGATACAGAGTTTAGACTTGCCCTAGGACTTGGGATTTTCCCAAGGGATGTTTGGGAAAAATTCCCCTGAGATTTTGCCCTGGAATGTTTCAGGTAGCACAGTAGTTTCAGGTAGTAGGGTGGTTTCTCTTCAGTGTTTTGGAATTGCTGACTGTTCAGTCCTCCTTGAAGCTTATTATTCTACAGAAAAATGGAATATATCTGTATAATATCTTTGGAGAAGGAAGAAACGCTTGTAATTCTGTTAAATGGATGAGATAATTTTCAGTATAGTGTCGTGGTTTAAACCCAGCCTGTCACTCAGAAGCCACGCAGCCACTTGCTCACTCCCCACCCTTCCTTCCCCCACTCCCGGAGGGATGGGGAGGAGAATCAAAGGCATGTAACTCCCACGAGTTAAGATAAGAACAGTCCAGTAACTAAGGTATAAGACAAATCACTGCTGCTACCACCAATAGCAATAATGATAAGGGAAATGACAAGGGAAGAGAATACAACCTCTCACCACCCACTGAACAGTACCCAGCCCGACCGAGCAGTGATCTAGCCCTTTCAGGTGACTGCCCCCAGTTTATATAGTGGGCATGATGTGCTGTGGTATGGAATACCCTTTGGCTAGTTTGGGTCGTCTCCTGTCTCTGTTTCCTCCCAGCTTGCCCTCCTCCCTGACAGAGCATGAGACTCAGAAAGTCCTTGGCCAGACTAAACATTACTAAGCAGCAACTAAAAACATCACTGTTATCAGCGCTGTTCCAGGCTGAAAGTCAAAACCACAGCACTGCACCAGCTACGAAGAAGGAGAAAAATTACTGCTTCTGCTGAACCCAGGACATATAGTTATCTGCATACCTCACCTTATGGTACTTATAGAATGTACCTTTCAGAATTATTTCTAAAACAGATTTACATATTTTAATCTTCAATTGTTCTTGTAATCTGAAAACTTTGTGTCTTCTGTGGTTAGGTGAAATTAGTGCATTGGTGAATAATTACAATAGTATAGAAATCTTGAGATAGTTGGCTTTCTGCTTTGATTCCCAAGATTTTTCATTAGTTTGTTGGTTGGTTGGTTTGTTGATTGGTTTGTATCCACACAAGTGGTCAGATACTGCCCAGGGAGACTGAGAGATCGTGGAAGTGTTCAAGAATAAATTGGGCACAGTCCTGAGCAGCTTGATCTGGTTAGACCTGTTTTGAGAGGAGGGTTGGACAAGATGACCTCCAAAGACCCCTTTATTTCAAAATTATTGTGTGGATTTGTGGTTCTCTGTTTTTTGTTGTTCCCCAGAAGTAAGAAGAAAGTCTCATCAACTATTGTACTTAATTTCCCTAATCACTTCAAGCACGTAGTTATGAAATCTTGACTAACTAACATGAAATGTGTACTCTCTTCCTATTTCTTGTTACACATAGTAAAATATTAACATTTTGATGATTCTGAGCAAGGTGTAGATATTGGATAAATAAATGTGCTTCCAGAAGATGTTTTAGAAATTTGTACATGCAAATATTTCCTTTAAAAAACTGCATATCCTTATTAATGAGAATAAATTACAAATTCCTAGTTACCAACAGGTACCAGTTGCAACTAATTGAGGAGTAAAGATTTTGAGAGTAATCAGCTTTTTTTAAATTTGCAATTTGGAGTTGTTACTCTGATGGGAGGAGTACCTAGAACTAGAGGCTGGAGTACAGTAATGTTAAGTCTTCATCTGTATTTATTAATGTTGCTGTTTATGATCTCTCTCTGGTGAACTAGTTACTGTGGATTTGCTTAAAAATGCATATGAAGTGGTGCCATTCCATCAAGTAAGCAATGAATGTTTCATTCACACTTAGGAGCAGCAAAAACAAATGCTTAATAGGTTTCATTTGATTAAAAGGTGATTGGGAGAGACTAAACTGCAAAAACTGATGAGGGGATAGAAAGAAGTTGTAAGAGCTGTATTTGGCTAAGATCTCTATGACTTTCCTTTGTAACAAGGCATGAGGAAAGGAACTTTGGGGAAAATAAAGAAACATGAAACTGAGGAAAGAGCTTTTGGCCAAGAAACAGACTTGGGAAGCTTCAAAAGCTAAACAAAACTAAAGTGGATATCCAGCTGTCAGCACACAGATTGGCTGAAATCATGCATCAGATAAGAAAAAACACTTTCTAAAACATAACTGGTCTGATATCCTGCATGGTTTTGAAGTGTCTTTTAGAAAAGGAGACAGGTGCTGTTCATGAACATTCAACACTCCCAACCACACAAAACCAAACCACCTACAAAAGAAATATTCAGTTCACAGTATGGACAGTTGTGCTATAAAAAACTTTTAATTTAAAACTGAAATAATAATGAAATAAAAAATACTAGTAAATAAAATGATCTGGGTAGAAGAAGTATAGTGAAGACTTGACTCAGTTTTGGTAAAGCACAAAGAAGTGACTAAGAGATTCAGTGTTGGGAGATTATCAGGAGATTTAAACTGTGAGGGAAAGTAGTTCAGCTTTGAGAGTACATGCTCTTAGGTACTAAGATTTTGCACTGTAGCTGTTAAAGTGGGAGAAATTGATCAGCTACTGAAAATTTTAAATTTTGGATATAGATGCTTGAAAATCTGTGCACTGTTTATAAGTTCTTTGGGAAGTCTGAAACTGAGATGAAAACTGAACTGCAGAGTTTAGGACGGTCTTAATTCTGGTTTAGTCTGGTTCTTACTGTAATCTTTTTCAAAGATATTTTATAGCAACTGATGTGTAACTTTTAAAGTTGCCTGTATGGTTAGTTTAGTTTACATTTGTACCTGTTTGTTGTTTTACCTAAAGGAAAACTTTATGGAATTAGTTTACCTAAAGGAAACTTTGTGGATGTAGTTTCTTCATTTCCAAAAGCAGAATAGTAGAGTACTTTCTTAATGTCATTAAGTACAATGATCATTCATTCTATCATGGGATCATTTGTCAGAAGTTAAAGTAATTGCATCAGAGATAAATCTGGCCAATTACTGTTAAAGAAAACATGGAATGACTTGATTAAGGAGCTATCCCACCCCCCAAAAGTGATTAATTACTGAAAAAAGTACTAATCTTAATAGCACTTCTGGCAATAAGTCATGGAACATATAGAAAGCACTACAAATGACCATTAAGCCCTTATTCTTAGCTACTTCAAAATACCATCTAATTTCTGTCACTTATCTCTTCAGTTCCTGCCTGAATGAATAAGTGTTTTTTTCCTGACCTTCATCTTCTTTTGGCATTTCTAAAATACCTGTCATGTAATAAGGAATTCATTTACATCTGTAACAGTCATTAGCTTTCTTGCTGTCAGTGTGTTTTTAACCAAGTTAATTTTAATCAGAGAGAA